TGCAGTAATTTTTTTTTGCAGCTAGTCTGCACGTTATTCAAGTTTGAGAAGTAGTGAGCTGTTAGCTATTCCCTCAAAATTGTGTGTCATACTTTTCTTTTATAAATTGTGGTCATGGGTCTGGTAATCTAACATCCTTCCCACAGAATGGACAAGTATTAGGTCTAACCACTGTCCTGTACTCCAACCTACTAGAAAGGTTACTTAGATATAATACGAGAATTGCAACAGGCTCTTTTGATTGACGTGATATAGGCAGCGTTCTCTAGTGGAAGAGCTAGAAGTGCTTTGAAGTAAGCTAGATCTACTGGAATTCCAGCGCTCCTAGTTATGAGAACTTGGGCAGGTAGAGAGGCTGAGGTTTCTTTTTTCTTTTCTTTTTTTTTTGGTGAATAAGATTGGCCCTGAGCTAACATCTGTGCCAGTCTTCCTCTATTTTGTATGTGGGACGCTGCCACAGCACAGCTTGATGAGCGGTGTAGGTCCACGCCCTGGATCCAAACCCGCAAACCCCGGGCCATCGGTGGAGGTTGCTAACTTAGCTACTATGCCACTGAGCTGGCCCTGAGGCTGAGTTTTAATACATCAAATTGGAGCAGTGATGCCACCCTTGCAGGATTGTTGTAAGGAATAGAGATAATCAATGTAAAGTGCCTAATATGAGTATGTGGCACATGGAGGCAGTCAGTGGAAGGTAGGTATTACTGTTAGGATTATCAGCACATATTTATGGCCTAAGTTGTAATATCCTGATATAGTAGTGTGGATTATCATTTTTAAGACATATATATAATTTCTATCTGATTTTGCCTATTTGGAAGTATGGCATATAAAGCAAGTTACTCCCAAACATGGTACAGATTTAAAACAGAAGTCATATCAATCCGATTTTAGATGAATTAATGACGATACACACATGAGTGCGCAGTGACACACCCTGACATATTATAAGGAAAGGCCGGGACGTGGGCCCCTGGCCTGACCTTTGGGGACCGCACGTTTAGAGGCTGGCAGCCACACTTGCCCACAGCCATTGAGGCCTCGACCTCAGTGAGATAGGGTCCACGTAAGAAACAACTGTTTTTCATGCCTTTGTGTTTTTTGAAATCTGATATTGAGGATGTTATTTCTGTTGTTTGTTACCCTATATTTAAGAATCCTTTGGACGTAAGGTCAGAAGACTAATATTTTTCTGCTTAACTAGTATTCTTCTGTGTTAGGTCTGGTTTCCTAGAATCAGAGATTGAGAATAAGGATTTTTGTGAAGGTGATGTATTGAGAGTGCTCTCGGGAGAAGAGAAAGGAGGCAAGCAGAATTAGGCAGGGGGGAATATGCTAAGCAAGGATATTATTCTGCCTGGAAACTAGCTTCAGCCTGTTCCCACAGGGGTCGAAGGTTGGGGGTTGAGGGGAGCTCTGAGACACAAATTGCCCCTCAGCGCCTGTTCTCCCTTGAGGCAGGGGAGCAGCCTTTTATACCCCTGTGTCAACCAGCCTTGCTCCTGGCCTCCTCCTAGGAGAAGTGGTGCCGTAACCTTCCAGCAAATACGGCTCCAGATCTGTGAGCCGTTACCAACCCCTCACTCCCAGGGGCTGGAGGACGGGCCCAGTGGAAGGGGCTTGGGCAAGATACCAGCAGTAGCCTCTGTAAGTTCTCATCAGTGGACAAAGCTGCCAGATGCCTTGTGTGGTCTTCTCTGCCTTGGTTGCTGGGAAATTCTAAAGTAAGTTTCATATTTAATTGCTTTAGCAGCCTTCAACCAGGATTATTTAATAAATAACATTCTTTCCCTCGTCCTTTTCTTTGTAACTTTAGTCGTTCAATTTTATCATTGGTTTTTGTACTTAATATACCAGTAATTTTATTGTAAGTTGTCTCAAATTCTTTTTGAATATGGGTGAGTGTAAAATAAAAATAAATATTTAAACTAAAAGCCAGTTTATAATTACAGAAGTACCAGATCATCCTCCTTAAAAATCAGATAAAGTAAGTGTTGAATAAAAATAAGAGTATTTACTATTATAATCTAATTTAATGCAAGTTATGTTTTCATAACTACTCAAGAATAAAATAAGCAATAAGTAGGGGCCGGCCCGGTGGCGCAAGCGGTTAAGTGCGCGTGCTCCGCTGCGGCGGCCCGGGGTTTGCTGGTTCGGATCCCGGGTGCGCACCGACGCACTGCTTGGCAAGCCATGCTGTGGCGGCGTCCCATATAAAGTGGAGGAAGATGGGCACAGATGTTAGCCCAGGGCCGTCTTCCTCAGCAAAAAAAGAGGAGGATTGGTGGATGTTAGCACAGGGCTGATCTCCTCACAAAAAAAAAAAATAATAATTATAAGTATTACAAATCCAGGGAAAGAAGACACAAAATTATTTTTGCAGATGACGCTTTTATGTATGTACGAAGTGCAATGGAATGAAAAAAATGTTATTGGAGGTAATGAAGAGATGTGCAACAGGGTTCTGCCAAATTACAGGCTATGACATAGATCCTCAAAAGTCAATAAAGTTAATGTATGCTAAAGTATATAGCTAAAAATATAGTGATGAAAACAATGTGAGGAGAAAACATTGAATCCACATCCAAAACTGAACTCACTTCCATCTGCCTACCCCAGGCCTGCTGCTCCCCAGATGACGTCTTCATCTGCCCAGGTCATCCAAGCCTATCCTGGGGTTATCTTAAATCCCTATAGCCCTTACCTTTACCATCACAACCAGTCACTAGTTATCAACTTTTGCCATTGCCTACATTTCTCTTAAATGTATCCATTCTTATACCCAATTCTCCTGACTTAAGTTTTCATCATTTTTGCCAGAATTACTAGATGACTTCTTCAAGTCGTATATGTATATATATATATGTTTACATACAGACATATATCTGCTCCATGGGTGAAATGTGTGTGATATTCTAGGGTTTTTTTGGCATTTTGTTCTTTTGGTTTTTGTTTTGGTAACTTTTTAATCAAAGAAAAATGAACGTTTAAATATGTTCAAATAGATTAGATCAAAGTTTCTCAACCTCATCACTGTTGACATTTTGGGCCAGGTAATTCTTTGTTGCTGAGGCTCTCCTGGTGCATTGTAGGATATGTAACAGCATTCCTGGTCTCCGCCCACTGGATTCCATACCACTACCCCAGTTGTGACAACCAAAACCGTCTCCAGGCATTGCCAAATGCCCTCTGCAGGCTGCGCTCACCCCCAGTTGGAAACCACTGGAATAACTAAGAACTCCCAGCAGCACTTACTGCTGCTCACTGTGCCCCGACTGCTTTGTGTGTCTCTCGTTGAATCCTCACAACTCTGTGAATAGGCACTGTTTTTATCCTCATTTTCCATGAGCAAACCAAGACTTAGGTTAAGTAATGTGTCCTGTGACACCTGGTGTCCTGTGTAACCTTGCACCCAGGAGGTCTGATTCTGGACCAGGTTCCCTCAGGTTGAATCCCATCTCCCCACTTACTAGCTGTGTGACGTTGCGCAAGTTAGGTAACTTACTTAACTTTTCTCTGCCTCAAATTTCTGTAAGCTCCTAAGAGTAGTATCTATCCCCTTGAGTCCTTCTGAGGTATAAACCAGTCACTGTATGCAAAGGATTGAGACAGGCCTGGCATGTCATAATAAGCACTTGCAGTGGCAAGTCACTGAGAATACAAAGGTAAAAAAGATACCTTGTCTCCCAGTCTAGTTGGAGATGCAGTCATGTGAACTGATCATTGTTTAAATAGAGCATTCTCTGAGAGTACAGAGATGGAAACAGCAAGCCTCTTCAGGGAGTCAGGATTGAGTTCACAGAGGAGGTCCCGTGAGAACCCTAAAGGATGAGTAGGAGCTTGGGCAGGCAAGGGGGTGAGTGTGGGCGATTCCAGGTAGAGGAACGCAGTGGGGGTGAATCCTGGAGGCATGGGGGGAGTTCACACCGTTTCCTCATCTCCATTTCCAGTCGGGATAGAACTGGGCCATTATTTTGTATGAAGTGGCTGCTTTTCTGAGAGTTCAGAACATCCCTGCATCTGTTTAGAAAGAAAGAATTTCAGAGCTAAATAAAAATTATTTTTTGAAGTATGTATAGGCTTTTATAGAATATATAAAGTAAACTTTTAGTATAGGACTGTAGGATGCATAGACTGCAGATAAAGCCAGTCACATTAAGCAAAATGAGAGACCCATATAGGTGTCAGAGCAATCCTATCGCATTAATTTGCATAAAAATATTTTTTTATCGAATTATTTTTAATATGACATTTGTTCAGAAGATATTTTGACCACTCAAAAGGAATACATACTCTAAACAAACATTTAAACTTCTGTTTAAATGGTTCCCTTCCTAATTCCCATGTGAAATAGTCCCTTTGGTTTGGTCTTGCTTTACTGTGGTAGCGTTTCTTTTCTTTAGTTCTGTCTAATCTCTGAAGGTCATATTGTAAGCTCTTGCAGATGTATGTACATATTTTTCTAAAATGAAGAAAGAGACAGGGAGGTCACAGTAGGTGGGGACTTAGGGTGGTTGGTTTGGCAGTATCTGAAAGAGGTGGGCAGCTCTTCTGTCCCTAACACGCTGTCATACAGTGGGGCTTGAAAACAGAAGCGAGTTACTGTGGTGTGGCCAAGCAGACAGCAAAGGTAGATGATCCCCTGGATTAACACCAGGGTGGGGTGCTGTTTCTACTTGGTAATTTAGTGCTTTCATAAAGTCCAATTAAGTACCAATTCTGAAGATATATTAACGGGTTATATTAAAAAGGAAAAGAAACCTTATCAATTAATTGCCTTATTAATATAATCACAACCTCTTTCAATTATAGACCTTTAGATAAAACATGAAAACAGTAATGGAAAAATAATCTTAAAAGAGATAAAATTGTACACGATAGTTTGTTGGTATTTTAAATGACCTCATTGGTTTTAAAGTATTTTACATTCTTTGTAGAGTTAAGCATAATTCTGATTTTTTTTTTTTAGTCTAAAATAAAGACAAAACTCAGCAGGCACCTAGAAATTCTATATGCATTACACAGTTATTTACACATAATCCTTCAGGTTGTATGCTGAATTGCCCTCCAGCTGTGTGCTGGAGATATGCTCCTGCTTGGGTGGGTCAACCCAAGCTTCTGAATTCTTTTTTATACAGGAAGCGCAGAAAATCACGCCAGAGATAAACAGCAGCATGGCCGAAATGAATCCGATGTAGACAGCTCCTCCAGGTTCGTGTTTGTGGCTTTCAGGCACTGTCAGATCCAGGAAGTTTGCTATGATCTCTTTGGTGTACCACACTGTCGGTATTAAACCAGAGATCCCTGCAGACATGAAGCAGACCCCGCCAGCAAAAGAAGCATGACTTTTGGTTTCTCTGTCCCCTCCTAAGTGAGTGCATTTCATCCCTACTGTAGAAGTGCAGATCCCCAAAGCAGACAGGACACATGCCAGGACCATGGTGGCCCGCGCAGCCTGCACGTGGGTGGGGAGGGACAGAGTGGAGTACTTCAAGGTGCAGCTGAACATCCCGGTGCTGTACCACGTGCAGTCCATCCACAGCCCTTGCAGCTGTACGATGGCTGTTATGATGTTGGAGCCCGCGTCCACATTCACCTTCCAGTTGGGCAACAGAGTGGCCGTGAGCACTCCAGAGACCCCAGATAAGGCCAGGAAGAAAGCAAGGAGCTGGAGACCCCCTGATACCATGACGGTATCGTTATCTTTGTCCACCTAGAAAATCCTGGTGCTCAATTATGGTGGCTCCTCGTCCAAATTGTAGCTATTTCTAGGCAGTAGACAGCCAAGTAACAAAGGCTGGGGAAAGAAGACAAAATCAGGATTGAAGGATAGAAAGAATAAACAAAAGGCTTCCATGTGCCGCGGGAGCCGGGAAGACATCTGAATAGAGCCCCAGGGTGGATGAGGATGCCGCAGCCTGGGAGGAAAGCTCACACCAGGCCTGCCAAGGCTGCCCTTTTCCTGAGTGAGTGTGAACGGTGATGCTTGATATGTGGCATAAAGGCAAGAACTGTCCAGTGAGTTCATCTTAGACTGTGCTGAAGTTGTCTGTAAAGTGGGCATGTTCCTTGTTAGGAGCTTTAGACATATCAAATTCCAGCCCCAGGATCTGATAAAGAATTTTAATAGCATTACGGGTTTTTAAAACTTATTTTATTTCTAATTAAAATACCCTAGGTAATAAGGAAGAAAAGAATAGTTTAAACCCTCCTCTTAAAAATGATTTATAAATATATATTAGAAAAGTTTTAAGTATTCAAAAAATGATTTTACTTAAAAAGTTTTTATTAATCATCTGCCATGTACCAGACACATGACCCAGGTGAATTGTTTAAGGAGGAGAGGAAAGTAATAGAAAGAAGTCAGAGTCACTGGCATGATTATCCCTAATTTCTAGTTAGTAAACATGTGCAAAATCCTTACCTATGTTAGCGCTTGTTTCACTTCGGGTGGAAGGTACTCAAAACTGGAACAATTAAGCCACTGTCTTTTGCTAAAGAGAAAGTGAGATCCTTTCTACTTGGGACCAGAATCATTCCCTGACCCAAATGAGGTAGTCTGCTGCGAAACCAGTTATTCTGAATGATTCGGAAGCAGTGACATCAGATCTTGAAAATACATACCAGAAATAATCACATCATTAGTTGTATGTGCAAGGATACAATGTAAGACTTTCTTTCTTTCTCCCCCCCCCCCAAAGCCCCAGTAGATAGTTGTATGTCATAGTTGCACATCCTTCTAGTTGCTGTATGTGGGACGCGGCCTCAGCATGGCCGGAGAAGTGGTGTGTTGGTGCGCGCCCGGGAACCGAACCTGGGCCGCCAGTAGTGGAGCGAGAGCACTTAACCGCTAAGCCACAGGGCCGGCCCTCTTTTTTTTTTTTTTAAGAAGAGGAAAAGATAGCACTTACTTGGTGGCTTGGCTGTGTTTTAATTTGGCAGTATTTATTGCCTTCTTTGAGGAAATATAATGGTTTTCTGAAATACAGCGATACTGGCTTTTTTTGTTTCTGAATTAATTTTTGAATGATGTATTAGAGTGGCTCTATCATGATTCATATTTATTTCACAGAAGGCAGTATGGTCTCTGAATCCAAAACACCTGGGTCAAATCTTGGCTTTCCAGAATGTTTCTGTGCCTCAGTATCCTCTTCTGGAAAATGCGGATTATTTGTGTTAATGCATTTTAAGGAGTTAAATGTGTTAATACATTTTAAGGGCTTAGGACAATATCTAAGCCATAGAAATTATTCAATAAATTATAATTGACATTATTATTAGTATTTATATCACATGACAATTGATATTTAATGATATTGGATTTTTTTCTTTTTTCTCTTCCTTTCTTAGGCTGATTTCATTTATTTTCATAGAATCTTATTGCTGAAAGAGACCAAAGATGTAATCTTGTGCGTCATCATTTTTTTGGATTAGAACATTTATGTAGTAAATCACCCCATGCCACACAGGTCTCAGCAGACTGGCAGCGTCCAGCTCTTCCCTGTCTCTTCCCACCTCACTCCGTCCTGCATTTTTTCCCCTTTACCACAGTACTTCCTGGTGAAATCTTCCCCATGTGCTTCTGTGGGAAGCAGGGAAAATGCTACATCCAGAGGCGAAAAGCACCAACTATCAACTTCACTCACTCCGTCTCCCACCAAGAAAAAAAAGACCTCCAGAGGGTATTAGTAGGACAAATGGCTTAGCTTCACAAACTCAGCAAGGTGGCTGATGCCTGGCTTTTGTGAAATATCTGAAGTAATACTAATTCGTGCCTATATTAAAATTACGAACTTTCCATAGTTCTAACATTGATTCTCTAAGAAGTTAAATCTATGGTTCATTTCTTTTCTGTTTTCCAAATTTCTTTTCATATCTGAGACCAAAATAGAACAAAAGCTAAAGTTTCTAGAAAAAAATGAAACACATGTTTATAGTTTTATAATAGCTGTTTTCAGGTTTGGGTTTTAACATTTCAGGCTCCAGTCAGCTCAGTAAATTACTGCCTTCCCCGACCATTTTCAGCTTAGGGATTCTTCAAGAGCGAGAGATTGCTGTTAACATTCCCTAAGAGCATCTCATTTCTTTATTTTTATTTTGGTTGAGTAACTTTTATGTGTTGATCAGTCTATGCTCAGCTTCCCAATTATAACTCTTTTCTTCCCATTAACCGGTACATTTTATAAATTTCAGTGTAATTCTGACTTGCAGACAGCTTGTTCATCTTAATTAACAAGTACTGGCAGTGATAAATTATAGACAGCCCAAATCAGTGTAAACAATATGACATTGCATTCGGTTAGCATAGTGCTCACTTGCTGATGAATATTGGACTTTAAATGCTTTCTTCTGCGTAGAGAACTTATGCAGAAAGAATTTGTTCTCCAAAATGAAGGTCACTTTTCTGTTCCTTGTGTAAAAATATACTGGCATCTTAGCTATATTGCTATGAAATCCTTTTCTTTTTTTCCCTCTCCAGCCACAAGCATGACACAGTTTGTGGCCTGTTCTCTCAAATTTCTATCTCTCGGAGAATAAAGGCATACTTTGTTTCAGTGGTGGTGCTGGTGGTTGTAGAGAAATACTGTGCAAGTAAGCAAAAGCAAAGGGGTCACACGGCAAAACTTAGTTCTAAATAGAGAACTCACTCATGAGTCTAAAACACATTGCATGCAGAACAGAACCTATGAATGTTAAATTTATGAACTATTTGCCAACAGAAAGTCTGTGGTGGATTTCAGTAAAATGTAAAGTCAGTTTTCCAGACAAGGTATATTTGTATCAAAACTAATATGTAAAAACAGATTTACAACTTATAATTCAAACTAAATAACACTTGAAGATCTATATTTAGGTCTCTGAGCAATATAGAAGCTTCTCATTTTCCATACCTTTTATCAGTAGCCTTCAGCGTCTTAACTCCCTCTGTCGGTTGTCTTCAGATGAACCCCAGTAAGGTATGATGAAGAAAAACCACATGCGTGTGAGGCTCATTTCACAGCTTCTGAGTATTAGTGAGTTAACTTGCAAATAGCAAATAAAGAGCAACATAGAAATCTGAGAGGTACAAACTGCTGATGGTGGTAGAAGATAAATACCAGGTTCTCCATCTCATTTTTTGAGCTGTGGGAGAATTAAGAAAGGAGAGGCGGGGAAGGGAGGGAGTTGTTGTTACAACAGGATTTGTCGAAACCTGAAAGCTAAAAATGCTTTTGTGTCCCTATATACAGAGGAGGAATTATTTGGATGCTCACAAAAAGCTTTTCTTTTAATATTATGTTTTAGTCTATAGTTATAATTTTTTTTGAATTTTTATCAAAGATTTATTATTGGAAGATATTATTATTTTATGTCCCCAATTAAATTAAAGAGTATGGTCTGAGATATTTTTAACTAGATTGTGCTTTGCAAATGATAGCTGAGACCATCTTTTTATTGTGGTGCTTGTTACTTTTCTGAAATCAAGATTCACAAAATTGGTAACTTTCAAAATAAACAAAAGACAGTTTTTAAAATATATATATAAAGTAAAAGGAAAAAAAACCCCAGCAACAATAGTTGACCAGAATCTGATCAGTAAACCTACAAATATTTGGGGGGGGGGGGTCCTGAATTTTCTTCTGCTCTTCCTTCCAATGAGAAAGCTTTCTGGAGTATAACTTAATAAATTAGAGCTTTTGGAAAATGTTGTGAAGAAATTACACCAAAATGATGTGATGAAACATATTAGATGGAGTAGTGAAATCAAATATTGAGGTTCTACATCATGAATAATGATATAGACTTATTTCACCTCCATTTGCTTTAGGTTCTCATTTTTTCCTTCCTCATAACTTTAATTCTACAAGCTGTAAGTTTGTAGCCACGCTAGAGAAAGAAAATAATTTTGTGGTTGGATTTTTAAAATTTTATAACTGTTAATAGCCATGTTAGATGTTAGACATTTCTTTAAAAGCAGTGAGTAATAAAATGCATGTTTCAATTATCTAGATTTTTCTAGATTTTTTTTTTGGTTTGTTTTAATCTTTTCAGAGTCTGGCATTTAGCAAGATACTGTTTTCTTCTCTTAGAAATCTGAATGCCTATGGATTTGTTTTTAGCCATAGCGTTATAATTTTGATATATAAACTTTCTTTTTTTATTTCACAGAACTATATCAACAGTTCTTTGTGTAAACACTGGGTGGAGTAGAGTTGAGTTTCAGGTGCTAACAGTCACAGCATTGTTATTACCGCTCCATCAGAAGAAATCCGCCAGATCCCTGTAGTGTCTTGTCTTGTTTTGCTCCTTGCCATGGTCGTCGGTGCAGACCCACCTGTGCTGAGGCTGACTGATGGCAGGTGGAGGCACCAACGTGCTCCCAACTCTGACCTCCAGCGTAATACTGCTTGCTGAGCATAGACGGGTTAAGCATGCTTTAATGTACATTTATTTCTATTTTCAAAACATTTTTGATTATTATTCTGCCTTGATGAGAACACTTATCCTGTAAAATATTAACTGCCTCTTTTAAAAAGGCAAACTTCTGAAATGCCAATGACTTTCAACTACAGACCTTTAATCAAGGCAGAATTTCTTGTATAAAAAAAGGAGCTGGCAAATGAGGTGTATAGAGAGAGAGAATTCATCAACATTATTATCTACTTCCAATGTGGACATTAAAGAGAATTAAATCTTTAAGTCCTGAGACTTCCCTAGATCTGTCTTATCTTAGTTTACGTCTCTTCCCCGGCCCTCTCCCCTGAACACCCCAGTTGTCTCTTCCCCGGCCCTCTCCCCTGAACACCCCAGTTGTATATCCACGTGCTGACATGACATTGCTAATAGACATTTTAGACCTATCATGGACAAACTGAACTCCTGACCTTCCCCACACCAATTCTTCCCAATTTCCCCATGTCCATTAATGACAAACACGTCCTTCCATTTGGCAGGTCCCGGATCTTAAAAGCATCCTTGTTTCCATACC